CCGGGCCCCCCCGCCCCCCGCCGCCAGCCAGCTCGGGGAGGTGGTGCCGGGACCTCGGCGCGGGGCGCAGTATCCCCCAGACCACCTCTCCACCAGGCACCGGAGCAAAGAGGAGCCCGTAGCCGGCACGGTGCAGCTGCCACCGCAACCAGAACTGCTCCAGCAGAGCGTCACAGATCCCAGTCTAATGTAGATGCTGTTTAACAGTTCCAGGAATACAATAGGATCCCGCAAATCCTCCCCAAATGGTAATTTTCACAAGGTATTAGAACGCAAACACTATAAAAAAGCCACATGAGACCGCGTCTACACACAAACCACCTTGGATTTAGACTTTTGGGGGGGGGGGGGGGGGGGGGGGGATCATTTGCCTGTTGCCCAATGCCTTTCAACATGGACGGTCTTACAGATCAGTTTAAAAATGGCTCAGAGGATTTGGCTCGTCCTGCAAAGTTTGCCAGCGCCAGGTAATCTGTCTGAAAGCAAGAACAGGCAAACGGAGTTTGGCGCTGGCTTAAGCAATTGCCTTCGAGGCTTCGATTGCAGGGGACGGCGCTCAGCTCCGTGCTTCAGTAAGACCCGAGAGCCCACCGGAGCACGGCGCGTACCCAGCCTCCCGATAAGGATCATGAATAATTAAGAAATAAGCTACGGCCGCAGCCCTGGCTGTCAAAATAAGCCAAGCCCAGAAAGGCACGGTGAAATACGGGCTGCTGCACTGGACAGGCTGGGCCACGCTCCCCCCACCTCCCAACCGCTTGGGTGCGTGGGGAAGGATCCGACCTTACAGCCAGCCCTGCCTCGGGGCAGATCCCCGGCCAGCGGCAGGAGCAGCCGGGCAGCCCCGGCGTTGCCCTCTCCTGTGGCCACATCAGTCACCGCTCTCGGGCTCGGAGGGGGAAAGGGAGATGCTCGAGACCGTGGCAGAAAGGCACGTTAAAATTCTCTCTGAGCCTTCACTGCAGCTCTCCTCCAGTGACGTTCGGTCTGCATCACCGCACGGCCGGGGAAGAGCCGCACTGAGGCAGCTTCGGGCACGCTAACAAACACGAGCCCCGGCTCTCCCGCTTGCGAGGCGGGGGAACAAAGCAGAAAGCAGCTGTGCACCCACAAAGAGCTGGGAGACCCCCCTGAGGGGCAAGGGCTACTCTTGGCAGGGTCCGCGGGGGGGCTCCGAGTCGCCAGCCAGACCGAGAGGCAACACTGCCAGCACTTGCAGACCCACACGGGGCTGAGAACCCCAGAGCGGCGGGCGCCCCCCCCCCCTCGGAACGGTCACAGGCAGG